ATTAAATTGTGCTGCGTTGTCACTTTGGTGTTGAAGAGTGCCGAAAACTGAAAACTGACATTATTCAGAAACAACCGCTATACAAGTAAAAAATTTTAACGATTTACTGGCAAACTCTTTTCTTCATGCATAAACCTTATGTATTAATTTTGTATTCACTTTTGTTCAGGTTGATTGCAATATCGTTATAAAATGGGGAATTGGCCCAGGCGAAAAGACCTCAGCACATCCCCCCCTCCCCTCCCCCACCTTCCTCTGGATAATCCGTAATGGCTTATAATTATGGTGTATATTATTATGATATTTGAGATTCAAAGTATCAAATTCTGTGTGTACTAAAAACATAACGCTCTGAAAAATACCATTGCTCCATTTTATAACAAGTAAAAGGGGAACTACATTGAAAGGATAAACAAAGAAATTTCACACAATATCCACTTCAATTACAGTATAAAGTCGTATGTATAGGAGAGATGTGAAAGCTAAAATTTGAATTGCGAAACTATTTGCAAAAATCTGTGTAAGAATCAAATGTAATTAACATTCCTCAATGAGTTAATAAAACAATATATATTCCTATAACCATGCACATACAAAAAGTTTATTGCAACACCTCAAAATCTGCAGGACACATGTCATCCCGCAACGGCGTAGCGTGGGGGAGGGGGGGGGGGCAACCCCCAGATAATTTCGAAAAACCAAAAGAAACCATAAGGATATATTTTTCGAAACAACAAAGAAATACATAATTTTGCGTGCCCCCTCAATTAGTCCGACCACGCTCTGCCACTGTCATCCCGCATGTCACCTTCCAAATGAGATGATTACGCCATTGGCAATAATGCATGACAGACTGAATATCGTTCAGAACACTTTTTATTCTCCCAACAAAAGGAGGATATTCTGTTGACAATATCGATGAATTTTGCAACATGTTGCGTATGACTAACTTTATACAACATATTTAGATGTAATTCCACGAAAAAATATCAATGAAAAGGGGAGAAAACAAACTTTACGAAATTAATAAACGGTTATAAAGTAATAACAAACTTGAATTGCGGTACCTTTGTGAGGGGTCCTATATATTATAATATCCTGTTTTGGGTAAATACTGTTGTTCATGGATTGTTTATTTTTTTGTTTTACTATCATGTGCTGACGTGTTCCAAGGCTCGCGTATTCCCAGTTTAGATCCATCTCCTACAAACAAACTTTGAAGACAGTGGTTGTATACTGGGCGTATAATAATTATAGACGAGCCCATTTTGATTATTCCCCTTTTTTTTTAGTGCGTACACGGAGTCTGGCGTTTATAAGGAAGTTGGGGGGGGGGGGGCGGGGCGTTTAGATAATTTTGACAAATTCAACGGGAATTAGAAACATGGCGGGATAAACATGTATGTGAGGAGAATCAACAACATGATCACAGAATTAAAAAACGCTCGAATCGTGCTGGGTTGTTACTTTAGGACGTCATATTGTCGTCACCATCGAAGGACATTATCGGGACCCGTTATGCCCTCATTTTCTTTTTCTCATTTTGTTTCTTCTTCTTCTCCTCCTCCTCCTACTTTTGTTCTTCTTGTTCATTTCCTCCTTCTTCTTCTATATTTTCTTCAAGGCGTTTGAAATCTAGTGGACGATAATTTGCCCGCCGTAATAGACCGCAGCACCCCCCCCCCCTTCCGACAACCCGTAATGGTATGTTCCCTGTGTATATCCTTTTTACTATACTAATTTGGAAAATAATGCTAATTATGGATGTGATGTGATGTGATTATAAATTGTGATGACGCGTTCAAGTAGATCACCCTCCTAACAAACAAGCTATCAGGTGATATAGAGCCCATTTTTATAATTCCTTTTTTTGGGGGTGCATGATTGAGCCTGTTGGTGGGGGGGGGGGGGGCGTAATTTTGTCATATTCAATCGGAAATGAAAAAGTGACGGGTGGGTAGCACCTTGCTCTCAGCTAGACGAACTATAACTGCATGAAAACACGATTAAATAATTGTGCTGCGTTGTCACTTTGGTGTTGAAGAGTGCCGAAAACTGAAATTATTCAGAACAATCGCTACAAGTAGAATTTTTTTAACGATTTACTGGCAAAACTATATCCTTTTCTTCATGCATAAACCTTATGTATTAAATTTGTATTCATTGTTCTTCAGGTTGATTGCAATATCATTATAAAATGGGGAATTGGCCCAGGCGAAAAGACCTCAGCGCAATCCCTCCCCCCCCCCCCCCCCCCCCCACTTCCTCTGGATAATCCGTAATGGTACGCTTATGGTGTATACTTATCAAGTATTTGAGATTCAAAATACCAATTTCTGTGTGTACTAAAAACATAAAGCCCGAATAAACCATTTATCCATTTTATAAAAGCAAAAGAGGGAAATTACATTGAAAGGAAAAGCAAAGAAAGTTCACACAATATCCACTCCAATTACAGTACAAAGTACAAACAGCATTGTTTATTGTCCAAACAAACGATTAATTCATTTTTTATATAAGCTTTGCAATGATACAAACTGTATGAACATATATAAAGTATAAAGGAGAGATGTGAAAGCTAAAATTTGAATTGCGAAAGTTTTTGCAATAATCTGTGACTTTTTTGTGTACGAGTCAAAATGTAGTGATAATTCCTCAATGAGTCAATAAAAAACAAAATATTCATATAACAACATACACAAATGCTACTGCAACACCTCAAAATCAGAGAAAAAACACATGTCATCCCGCAGTGGCTAGCGAGAGGGACCCCCCCCCCCCACCAATAATTTGGAGGAAAAAAATAGAGACCATAGGGGATATTTTTTGAAAAAAACAAATAAATACATAAGGTGCCCCCAATTAGTCCGACCACGCTACACCACTGTCATCCCGCATGTCATCTTCCAAATGAGATGACAGACTGAATATCGTTCAGAACACTTTTTATTCTCCAAACAAAAGGAGGATATTCTGTTCACAATATCTCTGAATTTTAAAACATGTTGCGTTTGACTTTACAACATAATTTATTTAGATGTAATTTCACGATAAAATATCAATGAAAAGGGGAGAAAACAAGCTGTACAAAATTAATGAACGGTCATAAAGTAATAACATTTAAATGAACGCTCATTGCAAACTTGAATTGCGGTACTTTTTATGAGGGGTTTCGATTTATAATTTCCTGTTTGGGGCAAATACTGTTGATCATGGATTATTTTTTTATATTTGTTTCCATCCTGTGATGACGTGTTTCAAGACTCGCGTATTCCCAGTTTAGATCAATCTCCTACAAAGAATGAAGACAGTGGTTGTATACTGGGCGTAAAATAGACGAGCCCATCTTGATTATTCTCATTTTTTTAGTGCGTACACGGGGTCACGCTTGTATAAGGAAGTTTGGGGGGGGGGGCGGGGCGTTTAGATAATTTTGACAAATTCAACGGGAATTAGAAACATGACGGGATAAACATGTATGTGCGTAGAAGAACAACAATGATCACAGAATTAAAAAACGCTCCAATCCGATGCTGCGTCGTTTCTTATGTATACATTTACAATAATATTTCAAGGGAAACGTCAACTTGTCGTCACCATCGAAGGTCTTTATCGGGACTCGTTATGCCCTCTTTTTCTTGTTCTCCTTTTGTTTTTTCTTCATTCTTCTTCTTCTCCTCTTCCTCCTACTTTTTTCTCCTCCTTCTTCTTCATTTTCTCCCTCTTCCTCTTCTTCTTCTACTTCTCCTTTTTCTTCTTCTTCTTGTTCATTTCCTCCTTCTTCTTCATCATTTTCTCCCTTTTTCCTTCTTTGTCTAGTTCTTCTTCTTCTTCTCCTCTTCCTCCTACTTTTTTCTCCTCCTTCTTCTTCATTTTCTCCCTCTTCCTCTTCTTCTTCTACTTCTCCTTTTTCTTCTTCTTCTTGTTCATTTCCTCCTTCTTCTTCATCATTTTCTCCCTTTTTCCTTCTTTGTCTAGTTCTTCTTCTTCTTCTTCTTCTTCTTCCTCTTTTCTCCTTCTCTCAAGTTCCTTCTTCTCTTTATTCTTCATTTGCAGCCCTTGCCGAAAAATGGCATGTTCAGACAAACTCCTAAACAGGGATTAAACTTTGTCTTGTTAGTGATTCACACAAATATATGTATTCATGACTGTATGCATCTATTTTTGTTCAAGGCGATTGAAATCTAGTTAGAAAATGAGGAAGACGGTAATTTTTGGGGGGCTATCTGCAGCCCCTCCATACCCTCCCCTGACCGATCACAAAACGTAATGTATGAGGTGAAAAGATGATATGAGCCTCTTCATCCAGTAATGGTATCAACGGCACAGCGGTCGTGTGTTAGTATGTTCAGGGAGATGTCATTTATACCTGTTTTTTTCCTTGTTTTTTCAACGATGACATCTAGCGTAATGTTGAAAGGTATTGTATGCCCAGGAAGACCATACACTGTCATGACTGTGTACACGAATATTGCAAGGAACGTTCATCTGGGATGGGGTGAAACCGCGAACCCTCATTGGAGTTTCGTTACGTAACCGAGCGATTCGACCATTCGCTGAATGTCACTTGGTGCATCGAGGGTCCATGCTTGGTGAGACTAGTCTTCTATACTTTAGTCCCCTTTTGGCCGTGTCTTTATTTTTTACTACTAATACTGCAATAAAACGCACAATGTTTATCATGTGCCATGTTGATGGTTTCATACAAATGAATACAGCTAGGTGAGATTGCACTAATACATGAAATAGGCCTATAATATATAATTATATAACATATCATACGAGCAAAGTGGTGAAATGGGTCTGATGACTGTACAATATATGCCACCATCTACATGTTACTTTCTTGTCTCTAAATCACTGAAGGGGTATGCTGACCATGAACTAGACTAGATGCCACATGTTCATCACCATCTTCTAGCTTTTATCACTGACACCTGTATTTATTATTGCATAATATTGCCGTTCGTTTTTACGCTAATTCACTGACATCGTTATACTTTCTGACCCATCATGGATTCAGATTATGTATATACCTTCTCTTCAGACGAGGGAACCGACGTTGACGAGGCATACGATCGCCATGTGAGAGAGGTAAGATAGTGTATACAACTTGAACTACATTTTGATTGCAATCATCAACGTTCATCCACTGCGCTTTAGCATCTATATGCTGCTTGCGCCTTTCTTGTGCCGTTTCGTTCCTATATTTTGTGTCGATGAAATATAGATGTCTAATTGCTCACTAATGAATGTCATCCGATGTGACTTGACTAGATGACCAATTACAAATACTAATTTACTCTTACTTCATCCCGTTGGCGTTAGCCTGCATGTTTATGATTAGAAACCTGGCGCTGTATCATTATGTAAGAAGTTATTTATTTTTGTTATCTCGAATTGGGGGACTTAATTTTACACAGTGTTTTTTGTAGTTGGATTTGGGTTATGTATTTATTTATTTCTTCTCCGCTTAGTACTATGAGAGACTGCACTTGTCAGTATTTATGAATGTACTGCTCTTTTATAGTTATATAGTTATAAAGTTTTCCCTAATTTCAAGTGGCAGAATCTCTCGATCGTTCAACTCCAGCTATAGTTACCAAACATCCTAAACGAGGATAAATGCATGGTCAAGCACGCATGTCTTCAATAAACTGAAAGTTGATTCTCCCCAGATATTGACCGATTTTTGCCAGAGTAGAAATGTTGCTGACGTTATATTTCATGAACAGCTTAGGTGCATGTAAACTTTTTCAGTGCGAGTGTGATTACCATCTCTCTTGCATTTTTACTCTAGCATGCAGTCGATGGTCAATCAACAGAGCCGATCGAGGCAGTTCTGCCTACAAAAGTAATTTAGCAAAATGAGCCTAATTGTTACCGTTGATGAGAGCGGTGGTGGGGTGGGGGGGGGGGGGGGGGGGGGGGAGGCTGTACAATCAGAGCACCGAGTCACGTACATAAAGTCTACATTTTCTATAGATTCAATATAGGACTTATAATTATGATATACATGACTGACATTGATAATAGGTCAGATACTAGTATTTCAACAATGTGATTGCTATCGCCATCATCTGAGCTATGATATGACCAATTCATGTACTTGACCGGTTGACTAATTCCAAGGAGTTTATGCCTAGAGTTTATGTTCCGCCGTTCTTGGGTAGCTAAGTAAACAATGTACAGGTCGTTCTGAGAATCGCAACTTGAGCGGAGGGAGGCTAGCGGAGCGGATCGTGGTGGTGAATGTGTGTGTGTGTGTGTGTGTGTACTGGGTTTTTACCACTGATCTCTACCCAAAGATCAGTGGTTTTTACACACGTGTAGTGGTGTGTGCATATTAGCCTTTAGTCAAGGCTCTGTATGGATTAGAGGCCGTGGTAGTTGCATTTAGAGCTGTCGGCGAGTCGGATTATTTCGCTCACCTAATTGTGCATAATATAGCGCGGGAGTCTTTGATAAAAGACTAACTGTTTGCAAGAAAAACTTTTCGGATCGCGGCTAGTCCCGCCGACCCTGGTATAGGCTACTTGTACCCCGCTTGTACCTCGTATAGAATATCCAATACATCATAGAACCTTCACAAAATGATAATGCATGGATAACTGGATATTTTTAACGACTAATAAACAACGACAACTACTACAACCAAAGAGATTCGATCATACACAGTATGTCCTCCGTAGATTCATAATTGTAAATGCGAGCTCGTATCTGACACCCCGCAATTTGGGTATGCATGGTCTAGCCTATAGGGGAAACATATAACAACAATGACTTTTGTTCCCGTTTTCTTTTAGCTTTCTCCTTTTTGTTGGCCGCGGAATTTGCCTAATAAAGTGATGAATTAATAAAAAATTCCGAATTGTTTTTTGTTTTTTTTAATCTCACTGATGAAACACATTAAATTATAATCAGATTCGTAGTGATCTAGATCTAGGCTCCTTACTTACAGGTACAACATCTAGACTCTTTATAATTATAAGGCACTATTGCCTATGATGTTAATTGTGTTTTATATTTTCTTTGTTTTGCTTATAATATGGTAGGAATATTTGCGGTCAAGTTCATCGGACGTGGTCGTGGACGTCTCTAGCTCTGCCGAGGAAAGACCGACAATTGCGAAGAGACGACGCAACGCCAACGAGGATCTCCCCTCTACGTCTCGGGCTGCCATCGCTGGATCTGGAGCAGGCACACAGAGCCAGAAGAGAGGTCGAGGACGAGGACGAGGACGAGGACGAGGACGTGGACGAGGACGAGGTCGAGGACGGGAAGTTGAGTCGAACGACGACTCGGAACCCCAAAGACAGGGAGCCACACAGCAAGCCAAACGCGGGGCCAAACGTGGCAATCGTGGCAAACGGGCTGGACGTGGTGCCAGCACTGTTGCTGGGATGGCCACATCAGGCCGAACTCAGACGAATGATAGGGAACGTATTCAAGCACTCCGGGATGCGAGGGAGACCAGGTTGACGGTAGGCATGCTTACACTGTGTAATACAGAGAAATAAAAGGAATTATGCCCCCCCCCCCCCCCCCATCATCAGGGTATGTGTTTGGGGTACAGATCGATAATTTGTATGTTTTGTTTTTCCAATATAGATCTAAGACATCAAATACTATTTGGGCAATAAATAGCTCATCTCCTCCACTTACTGATATAAGAGGCCATATTATTTTCTGTACTATTTGCGATTTTGTGATATGCAGTGGCGTACTCAGGCTTTTTTCAAGGGGGGGGGGGGGGGTTATATCTTCAGAAAAAAAATTGTTTCAGCGGTGGGGCAGGGGGTAGTCGTAGAAAATATTTGAAGCCAAGAAAACAAATTTTTGACAAATAGTACAATTCACTTAGTAATTCATTGAAACATTTCCATGAAATATAAGTTGTAAGAAGCTTCCTTTTTCTGTTATACAGGAAGACATTTCAAAAATGACTTATAAGGAGATTCAGGATCTACTCCTGATAAACGTGAAGAGACGTCCTGGGATGGTGTTCGACCTCCTCTACCCACCACCAGACTACGTGCCCCCGCCCCAGGCTGATCTACCTTGGTGCAGATGTGGACGATGTAGAGACATGCCTACAGATGTAGAAAGGCTATGCTGTGGGCAACGTCCCGAGGACTGCCGAAGTCAGCATGCGGTAAGGATATCAGTTTTCACATATTTAGCAATCAATAATAATTATGATCATTGCTCTAACTCGGATTACAATGTGAATTCAACTCGTGAAATCTAAGCCCTGTGATTCAACCTGTCACTGATTTGAATAACATTTATAAATAAAAAAGAAATTAATTGGGGAATCAAAACCAATACGTGATACAGAGCTCCCCCAAACCAGTTTAAATAATCCTGCTAGCTATGAACCCAAAATACAAGGCATGGGAAACCATGTCATGCAGCACAATGTACTGAATAGAGTTTGCAATTCAATGTTATGAAAAAGGTTGACTGCTCCATTATAAATAATTTACCTTGAAAAGTCATTATATTACATGTAGGTGCATTAATGGAGCCTCATGATAGGGAATGAAAATCATGAATGTTAAAAGTGTGTTATATTTATTATTGTGTTATATTTCATACTTCATTTCTTACTGTGTTGATCATGTATAGAAATATTGAATAAACTTGGGTTATATTTGTTTCCGATCTCACCTAAATACAGAAAAATGTTATTCCACTTGGATATTATCACTTATTCAATATTTGTCTTTGTCATTGGTTCATGTAGATCTTCCAGCTCATCGTCGATGAAGTGGCCCTTCTGATCCAACGGGCCATGTGGAATGACGCTTATAATTTGGAAGAGGAGCCACAGGAGCCAGGAGAGGAAAATCGAGCCATGCGCCATGCAGCATATAGATGTTTTGTCTTCTGGCAACATGGACGGCTAGGGCAAGGCAACAGACGGGTTATCCCAAGCTGTTGTGTGTCAGAGATCCGAGGGATGTACCCTAGTGCCACAGGTATATACACAGGGTACATCCCTGGGAGGTTTGTTTGACATTTCTAAAGTGGCACACTTCATATCGGGATAACTGGTCTGTTACTTTGCTCTAGCCATAGACATACTTATACTGGTAGTTCAAAAGCAGATTTTTTATTGTAGTATACAACATAAATTTAAATATAACAACTGATATGTTGCCTATTTGTCTTGCCTTGTTGGAGAAACCAAATTTGTATGTGTTGGTACTTATACTGTTCGCTGTCTTACCCACATAAACCTGTTTCATACCTGTATATATTACACAAGTTTGTTATACACTTTCTAATGTTTATGTTCACTTTTTATAATGTCTTGTTCCAAACATGAACTGACATAAAAGTGTATTAAGCATTTGTTATATAAGTTTGTCGTACTTTTTCACACCTTGATGTTTATGAAGCTAACTTCAAGTATTTCTACATTTTTCATTATTATACATGTATATTGAAATTAAAATGTAAGTGGCACATGAAATGACAAATTTCTGAGAAACAGTAATTTTTTAACTTGAACGTCTAGTTTTTAATCACAGTTTCTTTCGTATTACTCCTTTATATATAATACCAATCAAATTCTCCTGGTTACAATGTGAAAAACAGCATCTTTGTAAATTATACAATGGAAAGTTCAAAATGAAAGCTCTATCCGATAAGTTTGTTGTACTTTTTCACACCTTGATGTTTATGTAGCTATCTTCAAGTAATTCTACATTTTGCATTATTATACATGTATGGATATTAATATGTAAGATACATGTATATACATTGTGACGCATAAGAAGTCAAATTTCTGAGAAACAGTAATTTTTGAAACTTTAAAGTCAACTTGTTAAGCACATGTTCTTTCATATTACAAATTCTTCTGGTTACAAAAATGTAGAAAACAGCACCTTTGTTCATTATACAATGGAAAGTTCAAAATGAAAGCTCAATTGACGTATGCTTATTTATTGGATTTGTCTGTTGACAGTTGTATTACGAAAGTAGCACTTTGGAACTTGGACAAGAAATATATATTTTACTAAAAACAGAAGCTGATAAAAAATTCACTACTTATTACATTTCTTTACTTCTAAAAGTGTCCACTTCATTATGTAAATACAGTTGTGAATGTGCATGTATTGCTAATTATAAAAATAAATGTGTTATGTAAGAAGTTGGATACCCAGTCAATATGAGTCAAAGTGAATTCATTTATCCATAGCAAAGTTAATTCAAATGCTAGATATTGCTCTAATTACACAATCAAACAGCATACTTATTTATTTTCCTTTAACACAAATACTTATAAGGACAATGTGTATTAGGTACATTAACTATTTTACGCTTCAGAAGTACATTAAAGATAAAGACCAGTATTGGAAATGCCCCAATTTCAAAAAATGAAATAGAAGCTCTTATTACCAATCATGTGAAAGAATATGTTTTGAATTAGACATGATGATAACAATATTGCCAGGAAACCGCCTACTAATTGATATATTTGGTAAATTAGTTTATCTATTGTTATGTGAGAGATAAACGCAAGTGTGCGTAGTCCCATAAACATCTTTCTGTGTACAGTGCTTTTAACTTTACGAAGACTGGACCAAATTTCTTATCATTTTGATGATTCCAGAACCTTGCAGTACACACCAATACTTATATGTTAGATGATCAACCTTTTCTGATCGCTTCCACAACGTTTCTTTCACAATGCACTTGCATGACCATAACTAGTCTTTATCTTTAACTGGAGGTTTGTGAGAGTCCAACACAACACATTCAACAAAATATCATGGAAAATACCACATGTTGGAAGCTCCTTAATTCGAAATGTGTCAAGCTATATTTAAAAAATAGATTATTCGATGATCAATAGCTCACAAAATGAAGATAATCAATAGTTTAAAAAAAAAAACCATTTAAATAGTTAACAAATTGAAGGAATGAAAACTATATTGAACTTCGACTGCGCAGTCGAAAATGATGCCTCCGTCATAGAGCAATTTTACAAACAAAAAAAGAAGCAATTTGTCAAATTCAAGGTTCTCAAAATATTGTGATTACAAGCGATTTCTCATAAACATGTATGACCCTCTGACCTTTGACCTCATGAACCTAAAATATATTCACTTCATTGGCTTTGCAAGATACGTACATCATGTCCAGAGTTTGATGGTAATTCCTCCATCGGTTCTAATGATGTGATCACCAGCTATTTATGCATACATTATGAGTCCTGTGACCTTTGACTTCATGACCCCAAAATCTAAACAATTCATTGGCTCTGCAAGATACATACATGAACTAAGTTTGGCAAGAATCCATCAATCGGTTCTTGAGATAACGCGATCACGAGAACGGGACGTACGGACAACCCGAAAACATAAGCCAACTTAAAAGTGTATTAAATTGTCACAAAATAATCTTAAAGAATATAAAACGACACCTTGTATACAAATCATCAAACATGCATTTTGAAATAATCTTATGCTACTGTTTATGGACAAGCATTATGGTACAAGTAAATGTGGAGAATGACAAAATCTTAACCAAGACCCGGCTACAGCCGTCTTGGGTCGTTTGGTCCATCAGTCTACCTCACTTTCTGCCTCACTTTCTGTGAGTTCCATTCTCCCTGCTCTCCTGGCCAGGATGTCTGCAACTGGAGGGGGCGGGAATGGAGCAAGGCGGGGCTGAAACCGTCTGGGGTCGTCTAGTCTTAGAAGTGCCTGCCGAAACATTGGCTGGTCATCGGCTGTCCTTCTTGCGAAGATGTCCCTCATGATGTCGCCAACATACGTGTAGGTCTTGGGCACCTTACGCTTCCTAGCCACGTAGTCACCTCCATGTTTGGACCAGACTGCCACATACCTGAATGGAAAAAAATGACAACAGAAATGAATAAATGTGATTAACTTATTGCAAATTACAGTATTTTTATATTTTTGAAGAAATGGGCCTTTTACATTCACATAATGTGTTTAACAGACTTAGGACTGAAAGGTATAAAAAATGACATTTTGATTTTTTACATACAAGTGCAGAGTTTTGCTAAATTATACCAGGCACAAATTGTTCAATTCAGAGTTGAAAATGTGTAGTATTATCATGCGTATGCAAGTGGTTTAGCCCAATGATGGCACTCCTGCATAATGGAATGGGTCGGCATTACACAGCATACATTTATGGGTTAGATTATAATCATATTTCATTATAAGCCTCATAATAAAAAGTGAGGGGGCAGATATTGCAAGGGAGTGATGTGACTGAGAGTGGGAGATTAGGTGTTTTGATGCATAGCTAACCACATAAATTTCACATATCATACATGAGAAGTGGGGAAAATTCTTTCAGATGTGAAGGGTGCATGAAATTCAACACCCCCTGATTGTTGATGCCTATGGGCATAGTGGGATACTGGTGCTTTGCAGGAATATCCCTTATCCATGTATCTATCAATTTTCAACAGAGACTGTTATCAGTACCAAATACGGATTACTTACTTTGGGTTGCCTTCTTTATCCAACTGGTCTGGTCGGTCCTTGTGGGCCATGAAATCAATCACAGCAAGTAGATTCCTGGCTCTGTATGCGGGATACCTATTGTATAGACAAATAAGTAGAATAACTGAATCTGACACATGCAGTAATTGCAAAACTGTAAGTTTATTTTCTCCTGTATGCATATAATGTGACAGAATACAAACAATTTAGTTCTCACAAGGTGAGAATGAAAATATCTCTTTGGAATAAACTGTTCAAGCTACTTCCGGCAACTAAGGTGAAGAAATTATTATTACAAGTCTGTTGAGACACATTTTTTTTGAAATTATACAAAGCTAATAATACAAACCTAAAATAGAATAATATAAAAGAATGTCATTAGAAAAAAAAGAGTATGGATATTGATAAATTTGTTATAACTATAAATGTATGAATTGTTCATGCGACGGACATGGTCCCCAATTTAAATCTAGTGCGTAGGCTCATCAAGATAGAAACAAAGACAAAGTTTGATGGGAATATATTTGCAATTAATCTTCCTATACCAATTTCATTTGACATTTGACCTCAAAAGTGTAATCTCCCTGATATGTACACCAGGTTTGAAATGATCCTGTTAATCGCACAATACTGTATAAAAATTAGCAAAAACCAGAACAAAAACAGTTTGAAAAATGAAATGCCTGTCGTTGAAAAGAGGCATAAAAACATGAGGCAGTATATCATGTAATACGATGAAGAACAATACTCACTGGAAAGAAAACCTCTTGGAGGCATACATCAAGATGTGGTTGTGAAGGCTCTCCAGCATGCTTGTGTGGCTAAAATTAAAATGTGAAAACAGAAACTGTGTAATGATAACATCCCATTCAATCAAATGTATCATTTTATAATCGATGTGAACTAGCATTTATTTGATTACATTAATAGACATACCCTAAAACTCAAACATCCCACTAGATATGACATACCGGTATACCAGTCACCTTTTTCACTCATCATGTTTCCTAAAGCTACACAACTTCTCCAAAATATAATGAACCAAATAAACATTTGTGATTACATACTGGAATAATAAAAAAAGAAATAACCAAAATAATATAAAATCATAATCAAATTCAAAATCATACACTACTATTTACAATTGTCATATTGTGTCCCTTTGTCGCTTCATTATACTAAACTCAAAAGATAATCTATATGATGAATGCAACATATTACAGACCACATAATGAATAAATTTAAATAATAGTTACAGTGCAGTGTTTTTATTTTCAAGAAGGATACTTACCGGAAGTTGATGTAGTGGTGGAAGTTGTTGATAAAGCGCTTGTCGTAGCACACTTGCACAAGAGCCTTGTGTGCTTCACTCCCACGTCCCAGCCACTCTTCGCGCTCATCCAGCTCACCGTGTTCACACTCAGTAGATCCACCAAGACCAGCTTTCCACGAGTGTGTATTTGTTACATGATGGGTGAGACCATGCCACATTGCCTGTATCAAAACAAGAAATATTTTGTTGGAATAACTATTCAAATGCTGTCTTTACCGTGGGCAATACTTTAAGATTGCAGTGTCCTTGTGTTCTCTGTACAAATATTTAATGTTTTTTTAATTTCATTTTTGACAAGGAGGTTAATTATGATGTAGAAACATAATTTTCTAAACAAAAGTAGGTCAATAGGTCATTAAAAAATGTACAACAATGCTAATTGTTTACCAAACTATGAAAGCCAAATAGCACTATCTATTTTTTGTTACTCCAACACGCTATTGTAAATAACTCCATTCAATGAGAGTACAAAAGAGGAAGTGCATCCTATGGACCACAAACTAATCAAACGGATCAGTAAAATGTCTGTTTCTCTGCAGGGTTCAAAGAATCACGTTTGAAAATGTATGCATACACAATAAATACTGAAAAATTAACCTAGGCCACTATCATATGTATAAACTTCTTACATTTGTCAAAGGATATTAAAGAATCTAACCTTGAATTTAGTAACACTCCCTCCACATGTTTTTGAGCAGTACCAGAAATGGCGAATGATGTGCTTGACCCAGTACACCAATGGCCTTCTTGCTGCCTTTGTTGAGGCCTTCAAAAGAAAAAACAAAAGTTGCGATACATATTTTCAGAAAGGAAAACACATTCATAAACTATTTAATTGTCACAAGCGATGAGTAATTGAGCTTCCAACCCTTTATGAACAAACACACAAAAAAAACATCATCTTATATTCTGAGGAAGAACAAAACAAATTTGTAAAAACTTTATTTTCAAAATTACTTGTGCATTTGAAAAGGTTGATAGGAACTAAAAAAATATATAGTTTACCTTCGCCAGCTTCTTGCTGAGGTTCTTCGAACCATGCCAGACATCCCATGAATGAACAATGTCCGGTCTGGTCTCTCCTACGGAACAGAAATGGAAAAAATAGCAAAAATTATAACATTTTTTATTAAAGACAAAATATATGTAGCATGTTCTTGCTAGATTTCTTAATTTAGTACATTCTGTATTTATTATGTGTTAGGAAAAAATATTACTAAATACTTGTAAGTATGCGTAGATAGATATACACATTCTGTCATTTATCTTTACTGATTTCTCTACATATGAAGTAAATCTAAAATGCAGTTTCCAAAGTTCAATCTTTTATCATGTCATTTCCTTGTAAAAATAATCACTGTGTAATTTGTGTATAAAATAATAATAATAATAATATACATACTCATGTTCTTTGCTATGGAGGGATGGGCATCGGTGACTACCTCCTTGACTGTCAGGCCGTTCTCTGTCATAGCTTCGAGTCCATCCTTGAATCCCTTCAGCTCCATATTAGGGCTTTTGGAGGCCGTCTGTCGCTTGTCGACAAAACCAACATGGAGCACATCGTTGGTTGTGTGCTCCATGAAGGTGTATGTGCAGTACTGGGCGCAATGCCCAGGGCTGTCGTTCCTTGCATCGCCTGGTTGAGGAAAACAAAAGCATAGCCATGTGTTAAATATCTCAACCTTGCATGTGCCGAAAGATATAACTGTAAAAAAAAAATTACGAAACCGGTTAAAATTCAGAAATCAAATAACAATAAATAAATTCACAAAGTCATCCCAATTTATCAATTTTTTAAAGTAAACCCAACTCCAAGTCTTCATTATGAGTCACTATACAATTCTTGAAATTAGCAATGGCCAAGGCCAATAACAATTAATTAATGTCAACCAAATTTGATAGTGGCTTAATTACATTACCTGGGTGGAGAAATCAATATAAACTGATTGCAATGCTTTTCTTTGTTTATCATTAGAATGTTATTTGCCTAATGCAAATTGATAATTAAAGCTCACTTACCACACACAACAACGGGGGAAGCGTGGTGTTTCTCACGAGTTTCTTTTTGTACTCTCTCCCAATGGCTCTCTATAGCTGGGATTATATAATTAGCCTGCTGCTGCTGGAAGGTTGTTTTCGACAAAAAATTCAACCTTGCAAATGTTGCAAGTTTTTGAATTTTATCAAAATTGTTCCCGGAGAGGAGAATCGCTGAAGACATCATCATGTCTCCCACATGGCTCCTGCCACTCATTTCCTGGGAGCAGAATCCCCTCTGGTGGCCTTCAGGACACACCTATACATAGGGATAAAGAATATGGGTTGAAGATATGTTTGGATTCAAAGGGAGGGGGAAAATTACATATGTTGTTTTCATAAACAGAAAACGTTTATTCAAGGCCAGGTTGGAGAAATTTTATTTCTTAACTTTATTCATAACAAACGTCCCAATTTTCGCCAATGTTACTTTGATTTACCCAGGCTTTGAGATTTTGGCCTTATTCTGGACTTTCCCCAGTCATTTAAACAAATACTTGTGTCAATGAAAGACAATAGAATAGAAAACAAAAGGGAACATTTGTTGGAGAAAAAAAAAATAATAATAAGGTGTGACCCCCCCTACGATCTGCCTGACTACGCTACGGCACTGGCTTGTACAGTAGCCAAGTCCCTTTAATTCAGTACAATAGTATTAATGTTAAGAAAATGAACATACCCATGTTATGTGGGCGGCTGTACCATTAGCTGGCCGAAGAGTTAGATATACAGCTGCCTGGCACTGCTGGCACACAGGGTTTGCCTCCTGGGCAAGGGCCTTCAGCCTCTTCCCAGTGATGATGAAGAGATCAGCCTCTGCTGCCTCTTCTACACCAATCTTTTTGTGGAGACCTGATCGGGTGAAGTCCTCTGGCTCGTCCTGTCCGTCCGTCTCGTCTCCTAACACCTCTTCCTCTTCTTCCCCTACGATTAGGAGATCTCTTGTGAATTGTTCTCTGCCAAAACAAACAAAAAATGAAAAAGATACTCATCACAATGAATTCAGTAAAAAATAGCCTGTAAAACGCATATTACACTTTTCATAACAGTTTGTTTTTATCAATTTGCCAACTAAAAGAAGAAGATAGTTCTTCCACAATAAATAATGCTTTATGCTGTTTGGAGGAAGCTATAGATGATCATGTTAAAAAAACAGATTGCCCCATACGAGGCTTAGCACAAGCACTTGCCATATTGTCGAGGGCAATTCAAATTTAATTGCCTAATCAACCAACTGAAGTTTCTGTTCCAACTACAAGATAATATATTTCCTTTTTTGTCAATATCATCTAGAAACAAGGCAGAATGTAGACCAAGCTAGATAACACAACAAATAATTATTTTGCCCCCACAATATTTAGAATATTGACACATTTTGTGTGGAGACTTATCTAATATGATTGATATTCATTTCTAAACAATTCAATGATTTAGACTTTGCATGAACATGAACGATTTTAATAAACACATAAGGCTGCCATGTCTTTGAAAGCATTTCTGACTAACCATTTCATTGGGTTACATAATAATACTGTGAATTCAAGTAGATAAAATATGCAAACATACCTTCTTTGTAGGCGGAACTCTGGATCAAAGTCATCATCGATGGCATCCTCTTCCTCCTTTTCATGAGGAAATACAAAATCTCCCTTCTCCATGAAACTCACACTGAGGCTGTATGAAATTATTAACAAAAACATAGTTTAGCGCAATGCACTAAGCAGATTGAAGCTTGAGCTATGGTCGTGGCTTTAAAATTGGCAAATAAATTTGGATTAATCCCAGGTTTGAGATAAGCCTGGACTAAAACTTGTGGATCAAAATTCAGATAGAATTTCCCTTATGTAAACAACAGTGAAATCACTTCTTCCCCTACGTAACATTCAAACTGCTGGGGAATTTAATCACTGTGTGCAAGCATCGGCAGGAGGTGAAGAATTATTGCGCAACTGCTTGCTAGCTGATTATGTTGATTGGCGCTCACAAGATACAGACCTTAGACCATTTTCATGGATATTTATCCTCCCCCCCCCCTCCAACTGAATTCAAGCTGCCTGTTTCATCAGAGTGCCACCGATAGAAAGATAATTATTTCTGATGTTCAAATGGGATAATTTAATTGTCTATTTCTCTTCTTTACATCAGCTATTTCTCCTCTTGTCGTTTTCAAGCTCACCATTTTATTGCATGTGTCCTGCAAATCCAGTGAAAAGTTGTGCAGCTTGAAAGCGACACTAATATTTACTGACATGAATTGAACTTGAAGTGTTTAGGTTAACATAGGTTATCCTGATTGGGGTTAAAAATGTTAAAAAGAAACAAAACTTACTCTAAATCTTCAGCCATAACTTGGGGAATTGAAACTGTAGCCTGCTGTACTGAGCTGACTGTTCCAGGAGCATTCTCTTCTGACCTATTTGGGACCCCCCAAAAAAAACATTTCATTTACTTGGAATAAAATTCTTACAATTTCAAAAAGTTCTGGAGTGAATGAAATGGTTGACGGCTCTTAAAATAGACTGCAAATAATTGAAAAACCATTACCAAAAAAACTGTTGTTTTTTTTTCAGCAGAAAAGTACACAAACATTGACATGATTTAATGCTTCAATTGTTACAACTGAATTTCTTTGTTTCAATTTCATGCAGCATATGTTTGCCTAGGATTTGTATATGAGTTAATATTTCAGGCAAATTTATTTATATTCCGTTTCTGGATAATACATCACATCATTGTGTAGCTGCTTAATCACAGTGACCCATTGATAAACTGCCTGGTGTTTACAACAGAAAATCAATAATGCCTCTGAAATTGTAGGCAGCCTTTTGTTTAGTATTTATCAACGAATAGGAAGTACAATAGGATTAGCTCTGGATTAGGTAACACATAATAAGTACTTGCTCTTATACCCTCAAAGCATATCATTGTTCAGCTACAAGACAGTCCACACTCTTGGACAAGATCCAGTGATGCATATATATAATACCTGTGTATAGTGACAACCCAAAGAAACCAGAAAAGTGGCCACTGTATACAGGTTAACTATTAAGATTGGGCCCAAAAAATTTGTTTTCTCTCTGTAGTGAAGGCACGTTCTGGCCATTTTATAAAGGTTGGCCATTTTTTACAGGAGGCCACTGAGCTACTATATTCTATTTATTATTAATCTACAGATGTTTCTAGACAGTTTTCTCTATGTTTTAATGGAATGTATTTACATAATAGTTGCCAAAAGCTCACACTTTTTTTCTTCTCACCTGTCCTGTAATACAAAAGATCATTAACGGATGTTCAAATTGGACTTTCCTCTGTAAACAATTCACTTGACTATGTGCATTTTACTCTTGTAGTCAAAAGAAATTTTAAGTTGCTTGGTTGGGGAACCGAATTTACCTTTTCATAAAATGTTACTTGTCTGTCAACAATTTTGAATTACGGGAGTACTTATGCCCTGCAGTTTGTGAGTGCCTACAAGTACAATTCTTTGTTGAGAATTGCAACTTATGAGGGCATTTCAGTGTTTAATACAATTTGATTTCACAAATGTTAAAAACATAAATATTCAAAGTTAAAAGTTTCAAACTTACTTGTCCGGGTGTATCGTTGATGCTAAAGAGGCTACATCAGATGAACTGCTTAAGATAATGAATATGAAGGTGAATTTGAAAACAGAAGATAAAATGACAAGTTACAAACATTATGAAGCTAATGGGAGGGTGAGTAAATGTGTGAAAAAAGAATACCTCCTGCACTTTCACTCATATGTTAACAGAAATATTGTTTATTTTACTTTCATGTTATATCTTAATTGGTAGTGCCACGCAATTACATCCAAATTTGACAACACATATTCTGTTTACTAGCATTCTGAACTATTAGTTAAAAATTATCTTATGTTCCAAGTATCATTGCTTAATTGATAATATGCAACCAATACTGAAAAGAATTACGAAACCCAATATTCCAAAAAGGAGATTGAATCAAAACAGAAAATTGGCAAACTGTTGTTTGCTGATACGAATCTAGGCTTGCCATAACAACTTTCTAAATTGAGATGTACATGTAATTGGTAAATACCTGTCTGAATGTAAAGGCACTCTTGCACCTCGGTGGGATGGGGTTGACGCAAGCAAAGGAACTCCTTGTCTATAAAATAATAATTAAAAATTATTCTTTTAATCAAACATTTCACATAATTACACATACAGACCAGTTTTCTGATTCAATAAAACAAGTATTTGTTTTCGTTTCAGGTTTGTCTTTCATGTAGCGACATTACTGTTATGATATTACCATCGTATCATGTATTATACAGCTCTACAAATGTGTATTTGCGAGTCAATATATATCAGACATTATATACCTCATTTTAAGATTCTTTACTAATCCTGTCTTCTGATTGGTTGAAAATGCAGTCATGTTCTTAACCATGCCCGCTAATGGAAATTCATAGTCATTTTTCCCGGCTCTACCGGTTTATATCCATTTTTCATAGCACTTTTTCCATGGCTGTGAAACGTGACGTCATTTTGCTGCGATCCCCAACCATGCCCGCTAATTGAAATTCATAGTCATTTTTCCCGGCTCTACCGGTTTATATCCATTTTTCATAGCACTTTTTCCATGGCTGTGAAACGTGACGTCATTTTGCTGCGATCCCCATTTTGGTTTACGTGTTACCGTATAAGTTTCTTTTGTGCGATGAGATGGAAACCTAAATGGGTGAGGTCAACATTTTCCTTTTTTTCGGTATATAAAATATATATTGACTGCTTTTAATATTCGAGGCATAGTTGTTTCTATAGGGTCTCGGGAAACTCACAACCTGCTATGACCCCGCGGCGCAAGCGCCTTGGGGTCATAGCAGGTTGTGAGTTTCCCTTGACCCTATAGAAACCACTATGCCTCTCAAAGCAGTCAATATATCCTTAATATTACCCCTCCATGGAGCCGATATTCAATGCAGCATGTAGATGCACAAATTCATACGCATGTTTATTACAAACATGTATGGATTTGTATTTTGAAGGTGTCTAATTGTGACGTATTAATATGTTTACGCATCTCGGACATAATATGCGCAGATGGCCCTTCATGGCTTGAAAATGTTTAATAGTAATTTGAGATTTAATACATTGATCTCAATTTCAGAAAATTAAGTTTCCTCTCAGTTTGGATTAAAAAAAGAAGAAATAATCTAGATAGTAAATCAATATACAACTTACAAGCAAGCAAGATAAAGTGTGCGTTATTTCCTAATAATTACTCTACAATTCTACTTTTACATGCACTCTTTTTTTGGGGGCCAAGTTTTTGTTGAAACTGTGTTTCCATATGTCCACATTAAAAAAAATTGCCATGCACTTACCTCTTCTTCTGCCTATGATGATCAGGAGTTGATGATCTGGATTCATGCCTGTTAAAAAAAAATTAAAAATTATTGCACTGTCACTGTCAGGGTCAAAAACTTTTAAATAATGATCAAAGACGATGGCATGAACACTAATATAAATATTCGCTACGTGAACTTTATTTCAAATTCCAGAATACAGTCTCGTAAACTGTGAAATCATATCACAATGTTACTTACACTAACATTAATTATAATTGGATTAAACTAACCAGGTCATGCCACTCATGGATAGGCACTGCCGTGCGAAGAACAGCTATGAATGTACCGCTACACGCCATTGCCACGACTAGTTAGCAATGCATCATGCTCTCTTTACTTTAGTCAATAATTTTGAATTCTCCTCACAACGCATATGACAAGTAGACAAGTCACATCAGTCATCACCATAGTGGGATTGTTGTTAATTTTAATTTCGTCTTAGACTAGTATACTAGATCTAAGTTAATCTAGAATAGAAGTTCTGAACAGACAATTTTAATCAAACATTTTTCAACTTCTAACATGTTCCATTCCAAGCCTTCAACTTCAAGTAGACCTCTACTACTAGTAGACTACTAGTAGCTAGGCCTAGAGTAGATCTAGTCTATCATCTAAATCAACAAACATAGTTTTTTTTTTAAATGGTACACATGCAGCTGCAAATAATTTAACTCACAATTGAAGAAGATGATTTGCAAAGTCAGTGTGGGTCAACTTCATCTCGTGTTGTGCCGTGCGCCACTTGTTGAACGTCTCAATCCGGACCTTGAAAGCACGCCACCCGGGGCCGCCTGCCGGTGGCACACGGTTCCTCAGATACTTAGCCTGTGATGCTACCGCGCGAGCCTTCCTCGTCGCTGGAGAAGCAGGCTTCGGTCCCCGTTTCTTCCCTTCCATGTTTATATCGAAAAGCCAGTCGAAAAGCCAGTCGTTTAAAACCGTTAAAATGTCACTCTCTAAATAAATCGAGATAGTATACTTATGGCAAAAGTAGAACCAGAGTGCGAGCAACGACGATATAATCAATGAACAACAGCTGATGAACGCGAACGATAGGGAGGCAACAAAGTGTGTACACTGAAATACCGTGGATCGATAATAATAATGCTGCTTGCCTGCGCATTTAGCGGCCACGAGAGGGAGGCAGAGCGGTAAATTTCAGAGCCTAAAACAATTCGAAATCTAACCGTCGGAACTCTCTCACCGGACCACGAGAGAGTTCTAATTTACCAAATATATCAATTAGTAGGCGGTTTCCCGGCAAATTTTTTATCATCATGTATTAGTCAAAACATATTCTTTCACATGATTGGTAATGAGAGCTTCCATTTCATTTTTTGAAATTGGGGCGTTACCAATACTGGTCTTTACCTTTAACATTGTTAAACGATGCCTTTAAAAGGAATGAAAACAGGGATTGATAAAGGAAGAGAGAGAATGAGAGAGAAGGGAATAAGAGAAGGGCATTGATAGATGCCAAGCGATTTAAATTCACAATAGGTATTCATAGCACTTTTGGAATCACAGAATGCATACAGGGAAAGCCAATTTTAGGAATGTTTCTTTCACAAAGAGGTATACCAAACACTAGGAAAATAAAGCTCTTTTTTTTCTGAATGGCGCTATTTTTAGTACATGTAGGTCAGTACATGTAGGCTATATACAGTAGTCAGTGGAAAGTAAAAAAAAAAATTGTGAAACTGAGAGGAATGCTTGGCTGTGTTGATGTGCTTATTTACTAACAAAGCTAATACATGTAGGTCATTAACTTGTAGGGGAAATGGTTTGGACTTGCCAAATTACACAAATAAATAGAAAATATTGTTTCCCCGAAGATCAGAAGGGTCTTAAAGAGACTCGATAACATTGCCTCAGATTCTGAAACAAAATCCTGGATTTAGCTCATACTTTTACAAGCTGATATACTGTCTGATTATCAAGATATTTATGATTGAAAATCGAAATTGCTTTTTTCGTTGTCCCATCGGTTTTTATGACACTATATTGGGGGAAATGAGTATGGTTAACCAGTCACTCAAAGATTTCCATTTTTTTGAGGCACTTCATGATCATTTTGAAGCGCAATTTTTTTAGGGCTTCAATATTACACCATAATTTATCACAGACACTGATAACACTTAGGGCCATGAATCTCAGATTTAAAATTGTTAAACGTTAGATTTAACATTGTTAAATGATGCCTTTAACTATGGGTTAAGGATATGAGTTAACACTCCTCTGGCTCTCAGCAGACATAAATTACTTGTAGTATCAAGAGGACTTGCAAGTATAAATCTGAATGAACGTCAGTCATATATTGAGAGATGTTTACTCCAAATCAGCCTACAAACATACCCCAATTACCATGGACCATTAGCTCTCTAGAGCTCCTCTATTGAGGTAACAAGAGAGAAAGACTGCTCCATCCCATCAAAAAGACTACTTCTATAAACCACCAACCCATTATTTGCTTTAACTATCCACTGGGTGATTTGAATATATATGTATTGTGTGTGTCAACCATACTTTCATTGAAAGAAACATATCAAGCATTTGACTGATTTCTATTTATGTGTGCAAATAAAACAGCAGGTTCAATCATTTTCAAAATGTTTTTTACCATAGTTTTAAGAGAAAATTAAAAAATTCCTTCTATTTTCTGAATTTTTAGTCTAAAGTTGTAATGTTTGTTTCCAAAGTTTGTTTACCGGTAGGTTGCTAAGGTCTTTATTTTTTTTATAAATATTATTCTATGTGTTACCACACCTTTAAATTGTTGTTTGTTTGGCATATTCATGTAAGGAAATGTTTTATTGGATGGCTTTGAGTGTGATACCAGAAAATATTGCTCGAGCTATTTCTTTGTCTTGTATCATATGAAAACAAAACAATACAATAATATTATTATTATTATCTATATCAGGTTGACTAACAAATTAACAAAATTTGATAATCAAGCAATATTGTACCGACGGTTGAAGTTCCCAGATGACAGAGCAATACGAGAAACTATTTTGATCTGTCATCCGGGTACTGCGCTAAAGATATTACATACACTGATTTATTGTACCACTTGGAAGCCTTTTATATAGATAATAATTAAATATGTTGAGCCGTACTCTTCTCTTGCTTTCAAGCACTTTCACATTGTTTTCATAAGGGGTCTATCTCAACGAGAAAGCTTTTGTCTTTTATGGTACCCTTGAATAGTTACCCTTGAAGTTCATTCCATGTACTGGTATAATGATTTGCATCTGTGCTGTATTTCTGATTTGTATTTGTATTTGTATATACTTCAACTGAAATCAAATAAAACATTCTAATGATTGTACAACATGAAGCTCAATAAAAAAAAACGAAATAAAAAAAGATGTGTTAAAAATGTTGAACAATCAACACTACCAGTTATTCATATTTCAACAATATCACAATGTTTGTTATATAGCATTGCCTTGAAATTGCAACTGCACTATTATAAGTAATTTTTTTTTACCCCAAATAAAAGTCAAATCCCACCAATATCATACAGGTTTCCACTTTCCAGGCTTAATCGGAACCAACTTTTTCGGCAGTTGATCTTGTTTTGCCCTTTATGGTCAGGTTCAAACTAGATTTATTACGGTCATTTGAAGTATTCAAGATTATTATTTTCGAGCGCTATATAAAAATTGAGTATTTGAACGATTTTTATGTTTTGCTCCGTATGATTTATGTGTTTGATGTGTGTGAAAAATACCTATCGTTACTCTTTAGCGTTTAAAAGATCAGGTATGAGATTCATACTGTTTATGGTTAGACCTCATGAATCTCATGAATTGTACGAGTGTTATCCACAGGGTTCCAGCACACTCAGTAGCCCTAAAAAGTCATTCTGATCACCCTCCCTAAGAAAAGTTAGAGTGGAGTTTACATGTACAAAACAAAACTCTTACAGTTCATGAGGCCTATAAAGTATTAAAGGACCAATGATAATTCTTTTGAAAGAAATTCAGTGTTCGCACAGAGACATGAAAGTAAATATAGCAATTAAAGCTAAGGGTAATCACTCATCACACACAACACCACTCCAAATGAATCCATGACATCAAAATTAACCCCACTGTCAAATTATCTCAACGAACGAACCAACGAACGTTGACCTAGAATCAAAGACTTGTTGCTACTATACCACAGCTCAACCGGTCCACAGATTCAAATCACTGATGAAAAGCTCATATTTACCTTCGTATACAGATACACCTCTCTGAGGCCTTTTGATGGGATATATCCAAATTATACAAATAAATCCTGAATAAAGAGACAAAATTTGCTGCAAAATCAGTTGGACTGAGATGCTGATGTAGAAATGTTGGTTTGAAATCTAACGAGTCTGGCAAAGCATGCACGGAAGCCTATAGCAGTTGTGTGCGACGACGTACTGGTTAAAGAGTGGGAGGTACAAAGTAAAAAGGATGACTCCAAATACATGTGCGGAGGCCTTGATAGCTAGCTAGCACAAACCAGGTGAAATTGGCGTTGTAGAATCCATTTACTCTCGGGGAGAGCGAGCAATCCGTGTGTACATAATACGGAGTATCAATGTGTGGCTGTGTGTGTTGAGTGCATATAGAATAGAAAGCGTGGGGTATACACAAAAACACAGCTGTTGTATAGTAAAGTGGAGATGGTGCGTTTTGTGTGTGTGCGCCGGAGTACGTGCATGTAGTGTGTGTTTGACCCACAGGGTCTATTGTGATGCTTTACTTGGGGGTGAAACGCATGGGTGGCTGGAATCTTAAGAATGCAAATGCCTCCAAAACATTGGGACCAGCAAGTGAGAACCAGTCCCTCTTATAGTCTTTACTTCCAGACCTTACTTAACCAAATCAATGGTATCAACTGAAACGATGCTACTGCAGACAAGATGATCATACAATGTCTGTGCAATGAACCTAGACAGACTATTCATACGTAACATGTACTGTAAGTCTTTTTTTTTTTTTGCAGCTATAAAGACACAGGCTGTTGAAAAGACTAAATAATTACCCATTCCTTATTACCAATTTATAATACAGACACAGTTACAAAATCAATGTCTAGACCTCAATATATTCAAATTAAAGAGGAAGTCCACCCTGATACTAGGCCAAATAACAAATATAACGTGTTTCACGTCTAGAATTTTTTTTAAGAGGAGGCAGGGCATTACTTTTTATAATTTTGCTGTTTTTTCCAAGATGGCTGCCATGCTAATTATACTAGCTAGCCAAGTCTATTTATTCACAGATATTGTAGTATGTGAGTATACTGATGCAATGTATGACAAAATTATTTGTTACACTTTTTTTTCAAAAAAGTTTTTATGGGGGTGCTTTTGGGGCTTTTTTTTTGGGGGGGGGCTCTTTTTCTGAATAGTAAATAGCAGCGGCCAGAAAGGAGACACGCGGGGACGAAAAACACACCTTTTTTTTTTATTTGGCCTAAAGTACCGTAATTAACGTATAAACCTCCCTTGTGTATTAACCCCAACCCTCTTTTTCGCCCTAAAAAAAAAGAAAAAAAAGAAGGTCTGTGTTAAATAAAACCCACGTGGGAAGGCCTTACATTTAACTGCGAGGTGCAGCTGAATGTGTAAGATCCTTAATGTAAATTAAAAAACAGTAGAGGACCTAGTATAGAACCTTGTGGTACACCATGTGTAGGAATTATTATTATAAACTACATATTGAGATCTATCAGAAAGATTACTTTCAAACCAAGTTGACAGACAAATTTGAGTGTTGTTCTAGTTTCCTAGTGGTGATTCAACACACCGACTACTGAGCTGGGAGACATTGCCAGGCATAGCGCCAGATGGAGGGGCATAAATCGAAACTTTTTGGTGTACCCTGTATAAACCGCACCCCCGACTTTGAATTTTTTTCGGTGGCAAAAAGGTGCGGTTTATACACCGTTAATTACAGTAGTTTTTAACAGAAGCAGAAAAATGAGAGAAACCGGTCCGTGAAAGTCTTTGGAAAATGGCAGCTACGGTAAATGTATGCTGTAGCGATTGCACACAAGACTATCTGATAAACCCATAAACAATACAGTTATAAAATAAAACCAACTTTACCCACGTTAAGTCATTATGCTTTTGTAAAGCAATCTGTTCTTAGGATTATATCTTCTGGGATTTGTTATTTTAAATCTGATCGAGATAATCTGATTCAGATAAGTAGAAAGGAATTAGCATAATAGTGGTTAAAGCTGCATTTAGTTTAATACACTAAAAAAAAAAGATCATTGATTTTTCTCATGTTCAGGTGTTTCACTGGA